AAAAAAAAAAAAAAAAATTATTGTCTGAAAAATAAATAATATATAGAAGGTTGCATATATTTATTATTGAATGTTACTATAGATGAAATATATAAACTTATTGATGAGATCATTATGTTAAGGAAAATTTAATTTATATTTTGACTTACCGAATATTGGTTTTAATTTTATAAAAATAAGTCATTTTTTTTGGTAAAGTAGAATAATAATCTTTTTAAAACACAACAACATCATCTCTAACTTTTTTAGTTGGAAAAAATTAAATAAATTTTCACAATGTGTTAGGACTAAGAAGGTGAATTGAGAACTAACATTTATAAATTTTTTTCAAAATGTAAAATCTCATGTAAGTTATTTTTTGGAACTAAATTGACAGACTTCAAAGTTTATAATTTATAAACATTATATTTAATTTAATATTTATTGTGCAATTAAAATTGATGTGAATTTGTTTTCAAAAGTAATAAATTGTAAAAAAACTATGAGAAGCCATTCATCAATTTACATGTATGTTGGAGTAAAAATTGTCTGCTATAATTGTCTTTCCTTTGTCAATGAAATTTTATTTAAATAATTCAATATTTTGCAGCGAAAATCTCAATGCATATTTCAAGAAGTTTAATTAGCTTCCGTTTATAAATAATTTTCAGTCCAAATAGCTAGATATGTTATTGACTTGATGACTAATGATGATGATGAAGAATTTTTCTCTTAATTCAACAAAAAACTAAAAACATAATTTTAAAATATAAAAGGTAAAATTCTCGCAGCATAATTTTTTTTTCTACAATTATCCTTGACGTTTTTCAATTCAAGACTACTATTTAAATTTCAACGATGATAATTTTTATTATGTTGTCTTATGCAATGTGAGTTGATCAAAGTCAACTATTGTTGTTATATGTAATATTGTTGCTGAAAAAACATGCACTTAGTCATAATAGTAGCATATTGTTGTTTCTAGAGTTATAAACGAAAGATTAATATTTTCAATGACAATAGTGATCATAATAAACTCAATTCGCCTACAACTAATGTTATATGTATAATTATTCAAATGTCTAATAAGTGACATTATTGTAAATAAATTGTCATTCGTTTAAATTATAATTTATCAATATATTTAACATCATACCGCGCAACGCGCGGGTGCCGTACTAGTGCTCAATCAATCTACGACAGATCCATGTATACTAAGTTAATAAAATTTAATTAATGGCCAGCAAGTTACCACCGGCTCATTTCCCCAAAAAAAGACTTACCTTAATAAGAAACATTTTAGTTTTACCTACCGAAAAAACAAAAAAA